AAAAAAAAAAAAAAAAAAACCACACCCTAAACAAACAAACAACAACAACACACACACATCCCAGACAGTTATATTACTGGAAGCTTAGAAGGGAGAAATCAGAGAACTCATACATGTGGAAAGCAGTAATCGAGGGCTAGCATTATAACCCTTAAAGAGAAGGTACCTTTCCCTGCCTGGCAGAAGATATTCTTACCCTAAGGCAAGAATGTGCATGTGTTGTGTCTGCACACATCTGCTAGAGATGGTATATAAGAGCTAAAACAGCTAGCTTAGCTTGCAACAGTTTACTAATAACATAGCTTTGTCTCAGTCTTCCCTTAGCTAGGGATCTTTTAACAGCTTAAAATTATTTGAAGACTTCCATAGCAGATATTATTCCAACAAACTTCTAGTGTCAACCTGTCTTAAAATCTCATTCAGAAACCCTGGCTGCTAACTGGTATTTGTTCCATGTAATAAGGGTCAGGGCTACAGCCAAGAGGCTCGGAGGCTAGTGGGCTAAAGCCAGCCCATGAATAATTGAGGGCGTTCCCCACTGATGGCATCGAGTGGCAGAAGCTGACTGCAAAAATGCATTTGTAGAAATCCCATACTCCTTAAAGTTATGAAAGAGCCCCAGGACTGTTGTTACCTTCCCTAACTAAGGCACAGAATCTGACAGCACTGCTTGCAGTCTGTCCTTCAGCAGCTAGAACACATAGCTCTTTTGAAGCCTATCAAACTCATCCTCAATTTCTGAGCCAACCCTATGGGGATTTGCCACAGCACCCCATGTGGGAGAGTTGAAAAGAGCAGCAGCCACATTACATTTGGGTATGTGCCGTGCAAAAGCCATCATAGATAACATGCCTCATGACTTACAGCCTTACTCATATCAACTCTAAGCAATGAAAATCCTCTTCCTGTTCCAGACAGGAAAAGATCTCATGGGGAGAATTATAGCAGCTTTGAGTCCCTTGTGATCATGCAGAAGGAAGGATGTCACTATTTCAATTTAAAGGATTCATTTGAGGCCAGGGGGATTACAACTATGCTGTTGTTAGTGGACTGAGATAGCAGTTTACGTGTAGTGTACAATCTGATCCCATATGCTAAGCTACTACAGACACCTGCATTACAGGTTGTGCTGGGCAAGCACTGCAGCTCCCAAGAAATAAAGTCCATGTGTTACTCCACTTTCTAGTTCCAGCAGCAAAAGTTCACTTCAGGAGATGAGCTGCAAGTCTGGTCCAAGCTACATACATACCCCAAGAGCAGCAGGGAGCTTCTTGCTCTCTAGAGTTCCAAACTCTAGGAGTCAGTTTTCAGAGCAGGCTTGTAAGCAGTGAAGTTTTTGGAAAGTATTTCCCACCCACTTTCTTCCAACCTACTACCCAAAGGGATTAGGGATAGAGGGAAAGGGATAGGGATAAGTAAAGGAGAAGGAGGAGTAGCTCCTCACCCTGTCTTCAAGTTCCAGAGATACTTAGGGCAGTAACCCAAGAAGGAAGCACAATCCATATACAGTAGTAGTAGAACAGGCAACAAAATATCTAAATGCATGCTGCTCCAAGGGATGTCAGGCTGGGAAAATCTGCTCCTAAAATACCAAGCAGGCAGAACAAATTGTTTACAAGGAGAATACATTTGTAATTACAAGTTATTTTAGCTACCCTGCTGCCAGGAGTAACTACTAGCAGAAGGAAGCCATCAGTGTCATCATCTCTTCCCCCAGGATCAGTCAAAGCTGATGATATTGCAGCAATTGGTCTGAAGTTTCCTTGTGGAACATCTCCCTCCAGTGGCAAAACAGAAGTTGTTTCCACAGAGCTCTGGTTATTGGGGCTAAACTGGGGACAAGCAGTATCTTCTTCAGCACTTCCTCATTCCAGGTGAGAAACAGCAACATACTCCCCAACCAGAAGCTGTCAGATCCAGTGTTTTGCCCCAGGCAGGAAGAATCATAACTTATGAATCCCTGGGACAGTATTGCCACCTGCCTATGGCAGGGCTCTAGCAAATCAACCAAAAAAAAGGAAAGGTACCATACAACTTTGAATCAAGCTTTCCTCAACCACAGTTCATCATGGCCTAAAGAAACAAGTTTTACTTGCAGTTCATTGCTCCCCTTGTGATCCCTTGCACTTCTTGATCTCTGCTCCCTAAGACAAGGTAACTGAAGTCTTGGCTTTATGGCAGTTTTGAAGAGTGTTTGTTGGTAGCTGTAAAGTTCATGCTGCTTCTTTGACCGCATATGAGGACTTAATGCCATGTTTATGATTCCCTACCAAATCAATGACTCCACACTTGACCACTGCTTGGGGAGAAATGCAGGTCTAAAAACAGCCATTGTGAATGTGTGCATGTAGCCAGCACCTCACCACAGTGCAGCAGCATCTGAAGGAGTTCTGAGAGATCTCACAACGCTGCTTAGCTAAGGGAGAAAGAGGACCTGCACTCTTATCTATTTCTCACAAGCTTTCCAAACTCTCAAGCCCAGGGTATCATGGAATCACCTACAAAATAGCTACTTCAAATTTCTTCCTCCTCACAGCGGCACAACAGGAAGAAAGAAATCTTTAACAGAGAACACTGAAGAACACTGCAGAAGATAGGAAGGGCAAGAAATACAGCTAGCTGGAACAAGAAGAGAGAGATCATGTGCTGCATGCACTGTAGGCACAGTGGCAAGCTTTTTTTTTTTGGCAGAAGGAAAGGGGGCACAGAGTTAGTCCCAAAGGGTTATTGCTTCATAGAGCAGAGTCTGTACATAATTTGAAGTGACACCTTCAAACACAGAACTTGTTCAGCTTGGAAGATAGCAGGTACTTCAAAACAAACCATCACTTAGCTCACTGAAAGCTCACCTTCATAAAACAAAGCATATTTTATACTAGAATATAGCCTAGTAAAATTGTCACCTGCCTTTGATGGGTGATAATGTGAAATATGAAGTTAACCTCAAAAGCAAGCCTCAAAATGTGTATAGAGTTCTAAACATACTGGTATATTTCCCACTGACAGATCATTTGTGACCTTGAATAAACAAGGTATCAGTGATTGCATGTAATGCAGAAAGGCATGTAGAGAGAAGGCAAGGGAAAACCAATGCAATGCACAAGTCTTCATTAGAGTGCGATTTTTTTTAAGCAAAGTCTTTATTACAGAAATATTCACCCTCTAGGCTTTTAGATCTGTACATGCATTTCTTCCAGTGGGAAGATGTTGCTAAAAACAGAAAAAAAAGAAAACCCTGCATAGGTTCCTTTTTACTTGCTGCTCAGCACTGGCATCTGTAACTGAACATGAACCTTACAAATAAGAACATGTTACGGAATAGACTTCGTACTACAAAAGCTAGCAAGCTTTACTGCTAAGGGTGCCTTCTGCTATAGCAAAGGTCAGCTTGGAGGATCTGTGTGGGAGGGAACAGGGGTGTCTCAGAATAGCAAAGCCTTATCAGACCTCCGTGAAGTCAGCTGCCTAGTTACATCCACTCTCCCTAGTCATCACTTCATCCAGACATGAGGACAGAGCATGGCCTCACTCCTAAGACTCCAACTGCCTAAAAACAGGCCTTCACCATTTCTTGTCAGAAGAAAAACAAAGTAGGTAGTGAGGCCATCCCTTTAAATTGCTCCTAGAGCTGCTCATCTCAACCCCAGCCTTGACAAGAAACAGGACTCAGTTTCTGGACCACACTTGCAAGGAAAAGACAAAGGCTGTCTCAGCAATTGCCTTGTATTTAAGTTCAGGTCTCAGACGAGAACCATCCACTTCTCTCCCACATCACTTCCCGCTGTCAGGGTACAGACATGCATACACAATTGCAGCAAATCTATTCCGCCCAAGCCACCTCTATGACTGAGGATTTGTACCCAGCTTTGTTATCAAAGACACTGGGGAAGTTCTTCACTTGCATTTCTTTTTATGCTCTAAATCAGTCCTTGCTTCTGGCCATTGGTTGAATGCAGCCAACAGCCCAGCCATTAAAAATTACCCTGCCTGCACCCATGTGGGAATGAGCTATTTATCTGCTGTAGCACTTTCCCTCCAGACAGACTTCAGGACAGCCAACAGCCACAGCTCCAGACCACAGTGGAGTCAGCAGACTAGACAACTAGAAGCAACTCATCCTTACATCCAGACTGCACAGCCCAAACCCAGGCACTGGTAGCAGAGGTAACTAAGATACAGAGTCTGCAATCCAGTCAGATATCCTTCCATATTCATAATTAAAAGCCAAAACTAGCAAATCTTATGTTTGTAATGGGAGCAGAGGGGCAATCAAATTAACCATAACCTCTATAAAAATTGGCAACCCAAGAATGCAACCAGCAGAGGCAGCCTGAGGCTTAGCCCACACTATGCAGCAGTCAAAGTGCCTCCAAGCTGACAGGAGCCAGCAAAGCAGTGCTAGGGTGAGAGGTCAGGGAAGAAAGGCAAATGGGAGAAACATGTCAACTCCAGAACTCATGTGGCCCATGCCAAGAGCTCCTGAGCACTACCACAACCTGCCAGGCCAGCCCTGGAATGGGTAGGCCTGACTGCTTTCTGGCACCTTCCCATCACATGACACAGGAAGAGCTCTGCTGAAGGCTGACTTCAGAAGGAGAAGGAAGTACGAGGGTAGTGCTCAGTGTTTCAGATGAGAGTTTAGACTAAGAGGCACCATATGGGTAACTGCAAGGGAAGAGAATGTCTATAAAGCATGACTAGTTATCACCCCAATTCAGTGAAGTGGCTGAAGCACTGGAATCTCAGCAGGACTCCTAGCTCGCCCATGGGACAAAAAGATAATTTTTCTTTCTGGCAGGATAGGGAGATGGCAGGGAGAGGAAATGGGAGCAAGGAAGAGAATTAGGCCTTGTGAATTGTAGAAGAATCGAGATATGAATAGGATTGTATAACATGGAGCAGGCAGCAAAAGCATTGTCCCCTCAGATTAATCAGTCTCATGTGATACAGGAGAGTTAAGTTCCGCTTCTTGAAGTAGAAATAAACCCAGGGTAGGATGCAAGTGGCCCAAGGGCCCTACTGCCAGAATATCAGGCCATATTGCAGCTCTAACTGTTCTTAGCAGAGTGGTATCAGAAATGGGATGTCACAGGAATAATGGTCAACGATTGGACAGTCTGGATACGAGGCAGGAATGTTCTGTTTGCTCCTTTCTCTGTGGTGCCGTAGCTCTAGGGTCAGCAGGTTCAAGACTTGGGCACTTTGGTGTAGTCTTCACTGTGTATGTTCTTGCAGAGTGCAATGGACAGTATCATCCCCAGCAGCTGCAAGTAATGAAGAATGGGAAGTCAGTAAACCAAAAAATAAGGAGGTGAGTACAGGGATGCAGAATGCAGAGTGGTCATCTTTTAATGACACCATGCAAGTGGACAGAATTGGACAACAATGCAAGGGAAGTCAAAAACAGGTTGCCAAAAATATTTTGCAGCAGGAAGATGTGTTATGTCATGAGATTTTCAAGGCAACAAGTGGGATCCCACTAGTGGGATGTAGCTTGTCTCCTTCCTGGTTATACAGAAGTACTAGACACTAGCAGGAGACACAAGTAGACAGGGCTCTGTCCAACTTTAATCCAGCCCATAAAAGGAGGAATTCAAAGCTCCAGGTAGACACACCAAAGAACTATAGCTTCACTGCCTTAAACCAGATGTCTTACTGCTTTGAAAGATAGAGCTTTACATTTTAAAGAGTCTGCATGGAAAGATGGGTTTACATAGCAGAGTAACTTACCTCTACAACAGCAACACCTGTGCAGACACCAAGAATGATACCAAGGTTGTCCTTCAACCACATCTGGATACCATTTATGCATCCCTAGGAAGAAAACATGGTCACAAAGAAAGAAGCAGAAATCTAAGCACTGTAAGACTATAAAAACAGTGTAGTTCTTTGGCATGTACAGATTATTCCAGCTGCACGCTACACTAAGTTTCACAGAAACACCAGAGAAAGGCAGGAAGGATTCCTTAACTGCTGTCCATTGCCCCAACTTCCATGGGCACTTCAAGCAAAATTGAAGTGAAAAAGTGCTCTAAAATAATTCCCAGAGAAGCAAGGACAACATGATTTTAGAGAAAAGCTTTACAAGCCTGAGCTTCACTCACCTGCTGATGAACAGGCCAGTCAGCAAACGTCACAGTGGTGTTTGAAGGGAGACCTTCAGTACAGAAGCCACTATACGCCACATTGTCCTCTGAACTATTGTAGCAGGAGCAGGGATATTCAGCCAAGCTTTTGTTGATGAGAATTGCATTGTTTTTCCAGTCCTCTGCTCCCTCCAAGCCACAGCAGGCAATCTAATGAACAGAAATAGAGCATTATTGTCTTAGATTTTGCACTGGTGACACACTGCAGGTAAAAACAAATGAGCAGAGCAGAGGCAGAGAGCACTTCTCCAGGCAGCAACAATAGTTGAACCATACAATTTGTGTGAAAAAGTTACATTAAATTATAATCCTAGTCACCAGCCAATAACCTATGCACAGAGCAGTCCCAAAGAGGATGTTATTTCCTACCCAAGGATCACTCTGCTAGCAAGACAAGAGTCAGAAGGCCATTTTTAATAGACTTTGAACATAACATATCATGATATGCAAGATACAGAAACTACTGGAGAAAGCCTAGGCATTCACACTTCAGTAAAGCCAGAGAAACCAGCCTCAGTTCAACAAAGTGTGATTTTTCACTATAGCTTTTGTAGACTAAACACTAGAAAATCTCATCTAACTTCAAGGTGACAATGCTGAATATACACACTTCAAAATAGATGTAGCTGGTGAGTCAGCTGGAGGAGGGCAGCATCTTGTGAGATACATCTGAGACGTTACAGTCCCCACTGGTTCATTGTCAACAGACTGATTTGGCCAAGGAGAAGCAATGCAGGCAAGAGATAACACACTAACATTTCAAAGACGCCACCAAAGGATTCCGAATGCCAGTGTCTTCCACTAGAAATGCCATTTCCATGGGTTTAAACAGTGAGGTTTGTTTTGCTTCGAGCAGGATGCGCAGAGCGGACACCAGGCGCACAGCGGGAAGCCGCAGAGCACCAGGAGCCGCGGCCCTGTGTGCCCAGGGCAGGTGCCCAAGAGCAACCGGTGCCGCATGGTGGCGGCAACAGGCCGCGGAGCCAGAGCAGGCCGCGCCCGCCACACAGCTCCACGACATGAGGAAAGGTTCCCCTTCAGAGGGACGTTAACATTCCTACACCCCCACGCAAGAACTGCGGACACTGGAGGGGAAAACCCGCCGTGAGGTCTAGCAAGGACTACAATGTGGGAAGTTAGCTGCAAGCACGGATGGCAGCACTCTCACAGCGGCACACAGCAGGGAGGCTGTGGGACATGAGGTGAGAGTCTAGGGAAAACCCTGTCTTCTCAGAAGGAAAATGTAATATTTTCATCTGAGATAACATGCATGAGTGGAGGCATGAACAGCTGAACACCCACACTCAGATTAGCATTTGATTTCTGAAGTGTTGAAAATTCAGCATTTAGGAGCCTCTAGAAGGAACTACCTCCATCTCATATGGAAGTTAGAACTTTTCACTTTATGACTTCTAAAGAAGTCCCTCCTTCTGCCCAACAAATACCAACTTGAGTATATGAGATGAACTTGATTCCTAACACTGTATTTCTCCACCTCTGCAAAACTTTATCCTGCCCTTATACAAAAGAGGGACAAAAGCAGAATCCTCTCTACAGTGGACTCATCCTTAAGCCCTTTAGTGAGAAGCTGCAAATACAGTGATAGAACATGAATAAATCATTGTCTCTCCAAAGCAGGGGAAAACCACAGGTCAGTGCTGCAGAGTCTCAAGAACAGACAAAAGAAACCTCTTTTCCTTGTACTTACTCCATGTCAACCTCATGCTGGGCATGTATTTAGCCACAGCAGACAGCCAGCTCTCATGCTTGAGGTTTGGCAGTAAGCAGCTATCATGACTCCAGCATGCCTCAGGACTGACCTAGTTGCTCAAGCACTGACCCTGATGCAAAAGCAGAACCCATGGGCAGTTGGAATAGCTCCCAAGAACGCTGGCACTCACAGAGGAGCTGTCACAGCAAACCAGCAACATGCACCAAGAAACAAGGCAGCTACTGCAGCTGGCTTGCCTGGGAAAGAGCTAGGGACTTTTCCTGCTACAAAAATAGCCTGCATTGTGACTTTCATGCAAACCAAGTCATTCTGAAGACCCTGCAGATAAATGAAAAAGCAAAATAACTGAGGTGCCACGTATCAAGCCACACACATTGGCTAGGCAGCCAGTACTAGTTAGTCACCAGCCAGCACACAGGAATAGTTCAAGGCCTTACCTAGCAAAGACAGCTTCCTGGTGGACAGGCAACCAAGCTCATGGACAGCTCTTTAGATCAGCCAAATTTCAGAGTACAATATGTTGTATTACAGACACTTGTGACTTGCAACTTTGTCATTACAACCTCTCAACTTGGTTAAATAGATAGCCAGTTAATTTTACATGGCTCACAGTTTTTTTTGTGTGTGTGTGTGCGCATGCGCTATAGTATTATCCAGCAATCACCAATGCTAAAGGTATGAGTCAAAGACATTGAGAGATTTGTATCAACAACCAGGCTCTCACACATCAGTCAAACACTACAGAAGAGATGGCTCTGGTCATGCACTGAGAACCACAAGGATAGTTTTGAGTGTCATATGGTCTAAGAGAGAGTCTTCAGGAAGTGAAGAACATGGTCAACAGTACAGTTTAGGACTGGAAAGTAAAGGGAGAAGATAGAGAAATGTTGCCAGGCCTCTTACAATACCTGTTCCTTATCCTAAGCCTAGTTTTATTCAGCTACTAGCGGCCCTGGCCAAACAGCATCATCTGCCTCTTGCTGGCCCTGCCCAGTGGCTCACCTGTCTCTGCACGTAGTCCCATGCATCTTGCAAGTCCTTCTCCTCCTCATTCAAAGGGTCATAATTTTGAATCAGCTTCTCAACTATGTTGGACAATTCTTCTTTCAACTGGAAAAAAAAAAAAAGGTGGTTATTTCCTTCTAGCCTTTTCTTTTGGGTCTAGAGCAGAAGACACCCTTACAAGGTGTGCTAGAACTGCAGCAGGTCCATCTCCCTAATAGTGGAGAAAAACACAGGCTTACAATGGTCAGGGAGATTTTAGTATTGAAACACTTTGCTTTAGTCCAGTGAATAAGGCTAGAGCAAAGCAAATACCTTTAAAATTATAATCTCCATGATGGCAGTTCTGGTGAGTGAGGCTAGAGAAAAGAGACAGACTGCAGATAGAGAAGACAGGCACTGCAACAACAAGAAGCAAACAACAACAACAAAAACACACACACACGAGTGCACAGTATCCTCCTAGTCCTCTTCCAAAGGGCCTGAAGCAGGCAGTAAGAAGGGCTCAGACCACCATAATCCCAGAATGCTAGCAGCTCTTAAAACTGCGACAGAAAAACAAATAAAAGTATTAAAATGATGTGAAAATAAATATTTAAGAGGCCCACAGGCTATACTTAAAGGAAAAAATATATACTAAAAGCATCACAGGCAGTGACAAATCCCCCAGACTGACCTGCTTGCTCTGCAGTCTGGTCTATGTTTTTAAGAACAAGCAATAAATATAATCAACATGTGAAATGCAGAATGGATTTACCAAGGTAAAATCCTTCTACATGACCAGATGGCATTTGCTGAGTTTTTTTTTTTTCTCCTAGGCAGAACTAAACCCAACAAATCCATCCTAGGTCTCAGTGATGCATGTGGCCTGCTGCTGTGTGAAAAGGCAGTTATTCTAAAGAAAGAGTTAACTCTCAGACCCCATTTCCTCCATCAATTAGTTTCTTCTTAAGATTAAGTGCAAGGGAAAGTGCTACTCAAGTTCCTGGCACTGAAACCAAAAATCACTTATTAGGCTCTAGTGAAACAAAGTCAGAGGGGAAAGGAAAGAAAAAAAACCACCACAACCAACAACAACAAGAAAACCCACACACTCCCCAACCAACCAACCCACCCCATACAGGCTAACCATGCAGGAGAGATTGAAAAACAGTAGAAAATGGTACAAAGCACAAACCAGACCTCTTCTGAAATACCATATGCAGCTTTGGCTACTCAAATTTGGAAAAGGACCAGGCGCAGCGGGGGCACGCAGAGCCCCATCTCCAAGGGAAGCGCACTGCCCCGCTGCGTGACGCAGCCACCCGTGCGCCCGGGCACGCAGGAAGGCAGCCAGAGGGGAAGCCCTGTGGAAACAGGGGCCCAGGTTTGTTTATCCCGGAGTGAACAACTGCTGCCTGCCCCAGAACAGAGGGAGGATCAGCACCAGCTGAAGGACAACAGCAGCTCACTTGTGGCACATCTCTGACCTTGCCATGCAGGGAAGATTTGGATCCAAAATCTCAGCCCTTGTGGTTAATCTCCCAGCACAGCTGAGGCCCCTCTCTGCCCCTCTAGGATGGTGAGTCACTGCCTGCTCTTTAAGCAACTGGCTTTTCTGATATACAGCTGTTGGAAACTTCCCTTTTTCATAAGGGATTGACCTGCCTCTCCCCAAATTCTTGCAACTGCTGCTTCTGTAATGAGGCACCAAGCACTGCATCTGTCTCAACTGCTCACTAACAGTCTTCTGTGAAATTTGGGCTTATCAGTAGATCCCACCCCCTCAGCCCAATTCCTTATGCAGAGAATTCACTCCATTTCTCAGTTTGAGAAGAGGCACAAGCTGCCACCCCAGCAGGCTTCTCCCTGCCACCTCCATAGGAAGCTCTTCTTGGCCATCCTGGGCACAGGGGTAGCTGCCACTGCGAAAGTCAGACCTCAGAGTGCAAAGAACAGCCATGAGGCTGCTGGAGGGGCAGCAGGGAGTCCCAGCAGCCCTGCACAGCAGGATGCTCTCACCCTACTTGCCACCCTTGCATCAATGGTGCTACGGCTACAAGAACTCCTCTTCCTAGGGAAGCTGCCACTCAGCTCCCTACAACCAGCGAGATCAGGGCAGACAGATGGGAGCTGCATGATCTTTCCTCTTCTGATGTCTAGCTCTTCCCCCTTTAATTACTTAGCTTCCCCTTTTCCTTCCTTTCAAATCAAGGCATCTTGACCTGGTTCTCACTAATAAGATTGGCCTTGGCTGCTGCCATAAGCCTTATAAGTTACTCACCCTCACCCCTCCCGCACACCAGTGCTCCACATGTGTCCCTAGCAGAGATGCTCCTCAGAGACAGACTGCGAGCAGAGCCAGGGCCCGAACCAGGCACCCCAACCAGAGCTCCCAGGGGGAAGCTAAAGCTCTGCTCTTCCTCTGTTCTCACACAAGGATAGGCAAGGGGGCTTACAAACAGGCCTACTTCTAGAGATGTTAATAAAAGTCAGATATTTTTAGGCTTTCAGAAAATAATTGGAGAAGAGGATTTTAATACACAGTGTACAGGTCTGAAGAAAAAATGCAAAGGCAGCTTGTTCATGGGCTGAAGTGGCAGAGTGACCCAAGGGGAGAACACAGGCCCCTGCAGTCAGAGAGCGAGCTTCTGCCTTCGTGGCTTACTCGAACAAGCAACCACGGGAAGGGCTGCCAGACAGGCTCAGGCAGGCTGTCAGCACCTTCCTGCCTTCTCCCGTTAAAGGCAGGGAGGACTCAGCGCTGCACAGAGCAGGGCAGCTCCAAGAATCCTCTGGCCTCTGCTGCTTCAGAGCATGAAGCAGCCTAGGGGGAGGCGCCATCCCCATCCCCACACACAGCAGAGGCACTCACAGCCCAGACACCAACATCGGGTGACTGCCAGAGAGCAGGGCTGTCAGGCTCCCTTCCACACAGCTTTCTGGAACAAGGGAGCCAGAGGAAAGCTGAAGACCAGAGGCCAGAGTGTCTTCGATTCTAGTCTTAGTCACAAAATGAATCATTCCAGCTTCTTCCACTGTCAAACACTGCAGAGTTATCTAGCCAGTCCCTCAATCGGTCCCTCTTGTCTTTATTAATAATCTAGCCTGCACATGCAAACAGAGTCAGGGGAGGGAATCAGCCCTCAGTCACTTCAGATCCTCAGCTAATGCATACTCCATAGCCCCAGGCAAGTGGCTGCACAGTCACCCAGGCCTGTTTGCTACAAGCCACAGACAGCAACTAGGGCAATTCCCCAGAGACCACTGCTCTCCTTTCACTCAAGGCTTTTAGACCACAGCTTCAGAGAACTGCCTGAACTAGGACAAACACATTACTGCAACTCTCACATGCTTAGGATCTTGTGATGCAGGGAGATGAAGTCAAGTAGTAACACTCAGCCTGCAAAGCAGAATGGCATTTGCCAAATTCATGATGATACTATGTTGTCTTCCTCACAAAACCCCCCAGTCCACCACAAGTTTCAGTAGATAAGAGATGTATGAAATGGATTTTACACCAAGTACTGGGCAATCCCAGTCTCATGGGGCATTCCTCTAGCAGTGCTCATGAGGAAGGCAGAACAGCAGCCTTCCTGCCAGAGACTCAGCCTTTTGCAGTTACGCTATTTCAGCAAATTTCCATGGGTCAAGGGTAGAAAGAGGTTTTGACACTGATTGTAAACAGGTATTGAACAAAAGCTTCAGTCCTGGAAAGGCCAGAGACACTGGCTAACAAGTGAATTTGTTTGGTAGTTACTCATCAAGAGGAGGCTGGACAGGGAAGAACACATGAACTCTGTCTACCTCCTGCAGTACAGCAGGATTTCAACAAGTAGAGGAGTATCACCCACACTACAGTCTAGATCCAGGAGAATCCACTCCTATTATTCCTTATTTTACAGCTAGCCAAGTTCCCGAAGACAGAAAAAAGCAGTAATGATAGAGAACAATGCACGCCTAGGGACTGTTTTCCAGTCTTCAGCCTGCTTCACTGTGCTCTGAACTTCTCTGGGTGATGTGCATCAAGTGAAGCAGAGCAACATTCATAGCATCAGTGAAGCGCAGCCACAAACCACCAGGTAGGAGATTTCAGCAGCCGAGACCTTGAAGCAATATTCCTTAATCTTCTGGGCAGGTACTTCAGGATTCCTGAAGCAGAAGGGCTCTGGAGAGGCTTTTCCATGGATTTTGTTCACTCAGAACTGAACAGGAGCATCTGAAGTTTGTTAGGAGGCCCAGCACTCCCCTGCCCCTTGTGGTGCCGGGTTGGGAGTCATGATGAACTCTGCACAGAGGTGCTGACCTGACAGAGCCCCACTGGCTCCAAGAGCTGTGCAAAATACTCTCTAGATCTCATCCATTCCCTGCACTGACTGACACCCTGAAACTTTTAAAAAATAACAAAAGAAACCCTACACCTTTATTCTAAAAGCTCTACTTTCTGGAGTAAAGTAAAAGCTAGAAATAGCAATAGTGAAGGAGGTGCAGAGCTTCATGGTCCAAAGGGTTGCATTTCTCTACTGGAGGGAAATACCCTTCCCCGCACCTCTTCCTCTGTGTTAGTCATCTGTTTTCTGAGAACCAGCAGCTTGTTTGAAGCTGTAACTCTACAGAGCAGCCAACCAACACTTTAGTTTCTCTTGCAGCTCCAGCCAGCACGTGAGCTGCAGGCGAGGCACAGCATGCATGGCAAGGAACAGAGCCAGCAGCCACCACGGCCCCCCGCCAGAGCCCTGAGCTGCACCAGGGACAGCGCCTCCCCCTCCGCCAACGCTCCGGCACCAGGCACCGTGGGCAGCTTTGCAGCCTCTGCGTTCGGAACCACCCTACAGACAGGTAGGGGCAGAAGACAGGCCGAGCAGCAGCCAGTGCCAGGGCACAGGAAAGTAGGACACCAGCTGCAGCTCTTCAGTGGGTGTAAGCAACTCCCAGCTCAGCCTCAGCACAGCTAGATGCCTCCCAGGACACAATCCCAACCAGGGCACCTACAGCCAGGACTGGAGGTTGCAATGCAGAGTTACAGTGCACAGTTCATCTCCTCAAGGTACACCGTGCAATTGTACCTCTAGCAAAGCGATTCATATCAGCTGTTAAATCTCCTGTCTCTCAACTCAGACTCTAGTATAGAACCCACCAGATACTAGGTTATGGTCTGGGGAAAGCAGGATAACCCTCCCATGGAGCATTTTAAGGGCTGGAAATTGAGAAGCAGTCCTAAAGCATGGAGCAAGATGGCACAAGGAAGGAGGGCAGTCAGATAGTAATAGCCTGAGAATGACAGCCTGCCAAGGCAGCAGCGATGGCACCATGGTAATAAACTTCTGAAAGACTGAGTCAGCTTGGTCCTAGCAAAGGTTATTTTTACTGTTCCCAGTCCCCCAAAGTAAAGCCTGCATAGCAGATAGAGCTCCCCATCCTTTAAGTAGTATTACTGGGCCTGGCAGATACATGATAACCAGACAACAGCAAGTAGGAGAGAAAAGGAAGAATCCAGTTATGCCTGAGAATGGCATAACCCAGACTGGATTCTGAGAAATTGAGAGAATTTCCAGGCATTTCCTCCTCCGCCCCTCATCAACCCTCTGCCCCTCAAGAGAAAAAAAAACAGGCAAGGAAAACGGTTAGAAACACTCACCGCGTCTTTCTGGAAGTAGATAATCAGCCCAGCAGACACCTGAGCTATGAGGATCACCAGCAGGCAGGCGAAATACTAGAAGCAAAACAGAAGAGGTGAACACAGTCAGCCTTAGAAAGGTCTGTGGGATTTTACGGGCAGGAAAATTCACAAGGCCCAGCCAACACCTTGCCCACCTATGAGCTCTGCTAACAAAGTTCCCTCTCGGCTGAACTTCTGGAGCATTCACAATACAAGCAGCAGCTAGAAGCAGACTCCCTGGCCAATACACTTCAGTGCCTCTCCCATCAGGTCAACCCAAGGAAGACTTCAGGAGGAACACCTACACATGTCATTTCAGCTGGGACCTCCTTTCACATCCCGGTTCCATTCCCAGTCCACTCTGCTCTCAATGGTGGGGCTCTGTCCATCCTGAGCAGACACTGAGAAGTTCCTAATGCATCCATCAGTCAGAAAATTTGGCATAGATGAACCAACTGGAGGGAGGTCCTGACATACAGGATGTCCCTAACAATCTCTTGTCTATTGCATTTTTCACAAAAGCTAAACTTAGCAGCACAACAGGAAGCTGGCCACTCTTCTTGCTCTCTGGCTGTTTTTGATACTTGTCCTTGCAACACAGAGCACAATGTCAACTGGGAAGAGGGGTGAGGTAGCCAAGGGGCAGAGGTCCATTTAGGACATCTCTCCAGTTCAGCAGTCCTCTACAATTTAAGTGTTGTCAATGAGATCCTCATTTTTCCATGTCATGGTGCTAGTTCATCAGTGATGTCTGAGAATCTACTGATGCAGTGTGTTGCCTGTTGGAGAGTAAATGATGCAAATGGATATGACAGACTGGATTGGGACTGACCTGGCAGGTAGAGCCTCCCCAGGAGCCCTGATCTCCAACCCAATAAACATTCTGCAGGAGAGGTGTCAGACAGTGGATCTAAGGAAAGCATGAATTCTCTTACCAGACCCAAGAGGCAGCGGATTTCATTGACTGCTCCAAGACATCCCAGGAACCCCATCAGCATGGTGACAGCTCCAACAGCAATGAGGACGTAGGCATCAGTTTGCAGGGAGGAAGATGAGGTCTCTGGAAGGGGACAAAACTAGCCAATAACTAAAATTACTCGCCATCACCATTTGGTTAACTGCTTACTCATCCACTCAATGTTCTCAGGTCAGCTATGGAGAGACTACACTGAGGCACATCAGCTGTGGGGACAGAATGCTGCTTCTGGTTGCCTTCTGAGGAGGGAAGGCTTCCAAGGCAACCTGCAGGGCTACATCACCTCAGACACAGAGGCTCCAGGTCACTCCGAACAGAACAGGAAGTTAGGTGTTTAGCAGATTTTAAAACCCCTCATGAATGCATTTGTGCATACTAATGCATACTAATACGTATAACTACAACATTTATTTCATTATCCTACCTTCAGTAAAACTATTTTTCTAATCTTAAAAACTCAGTTTGATTTTTCATTTTAGAGTGGGACATGCAAATGCAGTGGACTGAAGTGTTACCCAGCAGCTTCAGCCAGTATCAAGTGCAGATTATGCAACAGGTTACTTGCAAGCCAGTGTTAAATGGCTTGTGGCCAGGCAGTCATTATAGGCTATTGCCTGCATGTGACCCCTACAGATAGAAACCATTTCAGGATAAAAACAGAGATAATACCCAAATCTAACTATCCTTACACATACTCCTGGCTATCCCCTATCCTTTGGGAAATGACAATGCCCTCCCCATCTTTCAAACACATTTAGGTGGCATTAGTTTATGTACGGCAGTCCTTTCAGCCCTTCTTCAACATCTGGTATTGCAAATAACAGAAGAAAAAACTTTTATATTTAGGTTTGTCACAGGAGCATTTCTTGCAGAAGATTGGAATGAACAAACAATATGACATAAAAGTTAAAGCCCTACTCCCGTCTAGAAACAGTAATCAGGAACCTCATTAACCACTAGATATTTTTAAACCTGCATGTTGCAGAGTATAGGGGAAAACTGAACATCCGGTGATTAATGAAAATAATGTTCCTAGAGTTCAGCTTTTCACTTCCTGAAAAGAAGTCCCAGGAGACACCTTCCTCTGAGCTCCTCCTGAAATAGGTTAAAAGGGAAGAGTAGCTGAACCCACACTAGTACTCTCCCCCCTCCATTTTCCCTCATAACTGACACCTGGTAGAAGTCTGATAAGCTCCAAAACTTTTTCTCTGCTAGAATGCACTGAACAGAGGAAAGACTCAGAGCTAGAACAGTTTGCTGCACTGGTCAGCTCAGACATTTTGCCTTGGTTCATTTCCAGGCCCAAGTCTCCCTGACTTGATTTATATCACAAATCAGGATACCAGAACAGTCCGGCTCCTCCCTACCCACCAGTCCTGGGACTCTTGTTGTGCAGGTGATGCCCTTTTAAAGCATTTAAAGCAGCAGCAGGCAGTTGGGAGCAGCCTCCTGACTTTAGTGGCCTTCACAAGACTTTATTATTCCTTCAATTAAAAGTGACTCAACCCATAAGTTTTCAAGTGCTTGGGCAGAGTGCACCTGTGACATTAGAAAGCAGTTGCTTAGTGTCTCAGCAGAAGCAAGAAAAAGGTATTCCCAGTTCCAAAGACCAACATGAAATCAGTGGCACTAGGAACAGAAATCTCATTTGCGCTTCTCATCTGCAGTGAATCTCGTCTTGCAATAGAAGGCCCTGCTGGCAGGAAAACTCCTGCTCTGTTTACTGTTGCTCCCTGTTTTTCCCTGTGCTGGGCCAGCAGCCAAACCAGTACAAGAGGCGCCTTTGGAATGCCCTGCTGTGCGGAGCTCCTTCCCACACTGCCAGGGTTACTAAAGCAGAGGGAAAGAGGGCAGGCATGGGAAAGGAAGCAAGGGGGCAGGGAGAAACAGCTGAGGCTGGAAATCTCCAGGAAGGAAGCTAAAGCCTCAAGTGCTCAGTTAGCAGAGATTCTGGGTAAAATGGGAAGCAGCAGGGCCAAAACCAGGGACTTAGCACCCCTGCGAGTGGCAGCAGCACCCGTAAGGGCGCACCAACAGCTGCTGGGGTAGCAAACAGGTTCTCAGGCTGCCAGTGGTGCTGCACACAGCCAGGCCCTGGTAAGCTCCTTTTTGGCTGGCTGTATGAAGTACATTTCTGTTCCTGTCCACATTTCGTTAACCAGCCCTTACTGGGCTTCCTGCCCTTCAAATATCGCAGTAGCAACCAGGTGCTCCGGCACAATAAATGGAGCAAGCAGCTGTGCCTGGCATGTCCTGGCCTTCACAGGGTGCCATCCCCACCCAGCATCTTCCAACATCGGGCTGGTCAGCAGGGATGGGAAGATAAAGCACTTGCAGGGCCCTGAACACCATTACTACTCATTCCCTAGGCAAAAGGAGTTGGGGCTGCAAGTGCGTATGCCACTGTCCTGCAGCACCCAAAACAGGGTGCCACCACAGTGAATAGAGACAGTGGAAATGAGCAGCCAGATTTGTTGAGCTAAAAAGCTAGGATCAGCAAAGGCAGCTCATTTTCTCATTTGTGCAAGAAGCAGGCCCTCTAGAACAACTCCACTTGCTTCTCCTGACCAACCCAGAGAGGAGGGAAGCTGGCCAGCTGTAGGGGCAGTGACATAGGGCACCTCTGAGGTTCAGGGCAGAGTCTTGGGAAGCGTGCACCATCCAGGGCATTTTAGGAGCCAGAATGTTAGAAACTTCACAGCCTCACACCCCCTCCCCCCAGCTCTTTATCTAAATTCACATTCTCTACTGCTCAGGAACAAGTGTGTACTTCATACTTCCAGGGTACATGAAGCATCAGTAAAATCAAGTGCGCTCTCCCTTTTGCATTTAAAATATTTAAATTTAATTTTGCTATAACAGCCCCTTAAGTACTCACTATTTTATTTCATTAAAGCATTATGGGTCTCAAGACAGGACTGTAAAGATAAATCTGTTGCAGAACACAATGCAGTGAAAAGATGAAACTTTTCATCCTGCACATAAGAACAGACTGGCATTCTGTACTGTTCAGTCAGGAGGCAATGGTATTATTCACTGTGATCCTGGTGTTTCAGTGCATGAGACTGGGAAAAATCCTATTTCTCTGGTGTTTCTCCCTTTCACCCTGTCCTTGCTAGAGTTTCTGCTTATACTCCAGGTTGCTTTCCAGACCACACATCCACACAACAGCACTACCACCCCCAAACTACATCATGGTCATACACAGCCGCAGACTACAGTCCATTCAGAAGGGAGAAGGTGATGCATAAAGTGGTCTTACGTAGAACTGCAATGAAACTGGTTTTGTCGGCCACAATCCATATTCCAAAACCCAGGATTACAGCACCCAGGATCTGCAAAAGAAGGAAATTAATACATATTACCAGCTCATTAGTTTATACATGTAGAGCAGCAGCAACTGCCATTCTCTATACTTCCAGGGAAGAAAACAAAAGATTCTTTTGCTGTTCCCACCCATCTCTCTCCTCAGGGTACTCCTCCCAAAGTAAACAGGATTAGCATCACTTCAGGAAGACAGCCTCAGCCAACTGCACAGGAGCCCCAGGTTCTGCTTGGCAGTTCTTCACAGAATTCTAGTACATTATTTTTGTACCAGAGGATGGTTCAAAACAGCCTGGTGAGAGGATCTCCCACTGCCAGACCCTCGCTGTCTAGAGAAGCACAAGGTAACAGCACTCAGCTTCTGTGAAGTACTGGAGGAGCACAAGTATCTAGCACACGATTAAAGAGATCTTTTGAATAGAGAAAGCCTTGGCCATAAAGGCCAGGCTGGGAACCAGTAGCCAGAGGATTTGGTATCTGGCAGCTGGAACTTTCCCAGGAAGGAAACCTAGGGTTTGCCAGACTGATATATTGTTATGGTTCCGACCAAGAAATGCAAAAATTCACTTTGTGCAGATTTCCTTGAAGTGCTTTACACAGTGTGCCCCTGGCCAAGCCAGGCCAAGGCATCTCACCTTGTGCCCCAGAACACCCCAGCCCTTCTAGCCCTGCAGCAAGCACATCTCATCTTCCCACCAAAATCAAGTATTATAAAACAGCAGCCATGGTCCCCATCTCTGTCACCACACAGTTTATCTGGGGCATGGATTAGCAGAGCAATATATTCTTAACAAGCACTCAGAGGATTCCAGACACAGAAACAAGAAATTGATACATTCAGCTTTCCCCAGTCTTGTTTTGACATGGGGAGAGAGAAAAAAAAAAAAAAACACTATCCTCATTTTAGTTCCTGGGAATCACAGTGTTCTCTGTTGCTCTGCAAGTTGCTTGCATACAGGTCATCACCACCCCAAAGGAGGATCCTTTGGCACTCCAGCGCTTTAGCAAAGTCACTCTCTTGAGAAGCCTGCAAGTTTTCAGGTCTGATACGAAGCAGGAACTTGTGCCACTCAGCCAGTTAGCAGTGGCAAAGGCTGGAAACCACTTACTGCACAAATATCCAAAACAGACTTTGATGAAACAGGACAGGGACAAGGAAAATATGAGATGGTTCCAAAGAGGAGGATTTACAGGTGATTTCTGACACGAGGAGGGTTTCAGGGCAGGCTAAAGTAAAGTACTAAATAAATCAACAAGGGTCAAGAGAGTTGGCGGTTCTGCACTTCATTACATGATGCCCCAGTATTTTGGGAAACAAGGGAAATACCAAACTATCATCTGGAGCAAGGTGGCAGACAGGACTGTGGGGACAAGCATCACCTGCATTTTCAAAGTTTATGCTATGCTTCAGCTCCTCAAACAAGGAAACTTTTCAGGGCTAAGATAAAGTAACATTGAAATAAGATGCTTGCAAGCTCTTCTGGCTTGGCATAAGGCATAACACATAGTTAGCTCTGGGAACTGTGTTAGACACTCGGCAGGCAGCTTCCCAGGACTTGCCAAAGGATGACGATGAGCTGAGAGCACACAACACACCTCCCAGAAAGGGGACAAGGCAGCAGCAACACGAATTGCACTGCAGGACACCACTGTCACACTGGAGCAGCTGAAGCAGCCCTGGAACATGCAACAGCTGGGAACTCCTAAAACTCCTCTCAGTCTTGGTATTCCCAGGAATTGCTTAATTCAGTTAGGAGACAGTCTCATATTTAACCCATAGCCTTAATATTTGTCTTGAACAGAGATGCAAACCAGGCTGTATGTGACATCTTTTGGCTCACTGACCCCAAAACATCAGCTAACTTTTGCTGTTGCTGACAAAACACAGAACTCCTGCTGAGCTGAGTTCCTGGGAAGTTATTTGTTCTGAGGCACCCGCACTGTCCAAGGCCTTCTCTCACTCTGATCTTTGCCCCAATCCACAACTCATGCATTTGCCAGGAGCAGTCCTGTTAACACTATTGTTATTTTTTCTTATTTCATAAGATCTATGACATAACATTTATAGTAACTCTTCTTAGCCTCTAGAGGAGTTTGCTTAGCATAGCAAGGCTGCTTCTACCAATAGCTTGGCTTCAGATCCTCCATAAAGAAACTGCATCTTCTTCCCATACAAGCAAAGGTTGGACATGGATGTCTCTTCCCCACATCACCCCAGAGGGCAAAATGTCAGCAGGATCACTCCCAAAGCCAGAATGCAGCTCCTTCGACCACAGGGCCAAAGGCAGCAGGCAAGGGACAGTCAGGCAGCTGGTCTCCTACAGCACAACCCGGTGAACAGCAGCTCTGCAGAATTCAGCTGTTGCCAAACTTCAAGCCCAGAAGAGCCCAAGACCCAGAGAAGTTCTAATGCCAACATCAGAGATGAGCTGCTTCAGCACAGGCACCAGCTTGCCTTGCCAGAAACAGCAGCAGCTCCTCTCTGGCTGCCCTCTGCTAACATCATCCTCCTTCAGGCTCAGGCTACACGAGGCAGGATCTGAGCCTGGCAGAGAGGCCAACAGAAGGGATCCCAAACCCTGGCCTTTAAGGTAGCTTTCTGCTCCATTTGTAGGACTGTTTTAAGTAGTACAAGGAGCCAGTCTAAACAAATAGTTTCCAGAGGCT